TTCTCTCACCGCACACATGGGCGCTCCCATTTAATTTATAAATACAGGTGTGGGGACACTAATAAAATACACATTTCCTCTTTCCTTCTTTCTTTTCCTCCCCATTTTGTCTCTCCCTCTTGGCCCCAGGTCCAGCTGGCCGGCCCGGCCTCAGCCAGGCTGAGCTTGGAAAACCCAAGCCTCCGAGCTTGGCCAGGAGCTTTAAACTCGCCTCGGGAGAGTCCTCCAGTAGGTTCTGTGGCAGCTGGGCTTCCCCCGGGGCCCAGCCACAATCGGCTCCCTTTCCCGGTGGCTGGGCTAACTCACCGGCCTCCGGATCTGCTGAGGAGCCTGGGAGACCCCTGCCGGGTGGAAGGAGAGGAGGGCCTAGTAAGGGTCTCCAGATTTCGGTGGCCTTGCAAGAAAGCCCCACGCTGGTAGGAAGGGGGTGAGGCCTTCAAAATGCACACTAGGTTAGGGGGCTCCAGCTTGCAGCCTCACTGCTCACTGCATGCTTCCCCTATAACCAGTTGCTGCTGGAGGGCTGGGGGAGAGTGCTGTCTGGACGTGAACTCTGGTGCGGGAGGTTACCAGCTACCCAGCTCCGCCAGCCCCTCTGTCCCTATGGCCAGCCTCCCGAAAATGCAGCCACCCTTCCCTCCATCGCGACGCCCAGAGCGCCTGAGAGGCTTGCCAGCAGGCGGCACTCCTGGGGCAGAGTCATCCAGCAAGGATCAATGGGTGCTGGCCCCACTGGACTGGGCTTGCAAGACTGAGGGCAGCAACCTCAGTGGTGGTTGGGAAGGATTCATAGTCCTGCAGTTACCTCTGCCTAGGCGGGGGCAGACTTTTCAGCTGCTCCTTGGTTCCCTTTCCAGAGGATCAGCGAGGGCAGGGGGAGGCTGCCTGTGCCTGGTGCTCCTCAGGGGTCCTAGCTCCGCCTGCACCCACACATGCCTTTGGCCTCTCCAGACACGAAAAAAAAAGAAGCCAGAAACATTTTATATTTTACCTTTTCTAGAACAACAAATGAAAATACCTGAAACAAACAAACAAACACCCCATGGCCTGTTTTGCCCTCCTTACCTTAAAATAGATTTATTTTCAATTACAAAAGTAATACATGCACTTGTACAAGCATCCAAACAATACAAAGGCTATGAAATGAAGAGTGAAAGTCTGCTCCTCACTCCCCTTGGCCTGGCCTGCTGAAGCCAGGAGGTGAGGGAGTCTGTAACTTAATAACACCTCATTCCCTTATTCAGAAACCCATCACAGGGGCCTTCACAGACCTATTCAAGATAGAAAAGCGAGCACGATTTCTTATATTTCTGATACTAAAATGGCATTTCAGAGTATCTTGCTTGAGGATATTATAATATTTCTCATAGTTACAGAAAACCCGTTATGAATAATAACTATGAACTTGTAGAAAGCTGACCCTGATTTTAAGAGAAAGTAAGAACCTTTATTTGCCTCCTCTTTATAAATACAAATAGGCTTATGTTATGGATTGCTTGGCATGGAATGCTGTGTAATATATATGTGTGTGTGCGTGTGCGTGTGCGTGTGTGTGCGTGTGTGTGGTTTGGGCATCTAGCTCACTTCTCCCTCAAACCTTTTCATGTAGGTGTTCATGGCTTGCTGTCTAGAAAACACTCTGCTAGAATGTTTGTCTACTTGTGCCACATTTGTCAACCCCTAGTAGTCAGTTACTTGTTGTAAACATCCTTAAGCTTCTTTGGGACTCCAAGACATAAGTCAGAAGCCAAATGTTTTCAATGACAGAGCTTGTGTATTAAAAAAACACACCCCCAAAACCCCAGTAACATTAGGATATAACAGTATCTTGCTGCAGTTGGTCAACTTTTCTGACAGAATATTTTGCTAAAGCACAAAGTGGTTTACAAATTCAGAAGACTCGTGTTGGGTGGACTAGTTACAGTGGACTGGCCTTGCCTACTCTGCCGTGGACCCAGCATGCATGTCGTCTTCTAAATATTGGGAGAGCCTCAGCTTTTCACTCTGCAAAATGCTACTAAGTTTTTTCAACTTCTCCTGGAGACAATGAAACTTAAGCTGAAGAGAGCTTTAGAGGACTTCTTAGAGAAAGGACTAGTGTATCATGTATAACAAATATTAAGAGTGTGCTTGTTGTCTGGGTGGCGGGTTGTGGCTGAAGTTAGTACTTTAGCTCCTTATTTTATTACTGATATAGTTGGTGTGACGTTCCATGTTGTGGAGCTATTGGAACTTGACAGAATCTCTACTATGTATTGTTAGGGGAGTGCATACTAAACACTTTTGCTTCTCACCCTTTGTTTCATTGAGTCAATCAGAAAGGGACAGTCAGTTAATAAAAAACCTGGGGTGATTTATTTTATGGACATATTGCCTTTGTTTAGTCATTTGTTTTAAGCTATCTTTGCTAAGGTGCTGAAAGTCCATCTCTGAAGTTAGATACTAAAATTCAAAATTATGGGCATTATCTATTTACTTTCCAATTTATTCTCTTACTTCATCCCCAAACTCAAGAGTGTGGGAAAGAGGGAGAGAAATGTCTGTAATTCAATCAGCGATTTTGTGGCCCCCAAAGAGTGATTTCCATGCAATAATTCTATTGATTGAGTTACGAGTTTGGATATAAAATTCTCCCGGCTCTCATTAGTCTTCCTAAATCTCTACTAGTATAGTTTTGGAGGCTTTGGAGTCAGGCAGACCTGATTGTGAATCTTTCTCTACCAGTTTCTAGTTTCTGATCCGTAGTCAAGTTACATTGCTCAGTTGCTTCATCTGCAAAATGGGAATCATGACATTTGGATAATATGGCGATCGTTTGGGTTAAAATAGGTAGGTGCCTGGAACATAGCTGGCACTTGGTAATTATGAACTTTTGTTTTTCTTTTCATTTCCCCTTTATTTCAAAGTTTTTATTTTCAGTCAGAATCTTGAGAGGGTGTGTGAAGTGCATGTGTTCTGGAAGGGTTGACATGTGGAGAACGAGAATGCCTCCTGTCTAGGCCCTAAGGCAGTGGTTCTCAACCTGTGGGTCGTGACCCCCTTGGGGGAAGACCATCGGAAAACACATATATAATTACATATTGTTTTTGTGACACATATATAATTACATATTGTTTTTGTGATTAATCACTATGCTTTAATTATGTTCAATTTGTAACAATGAAATTGGGGGTCACCACAACATGAGGAACGGTATTAAAAGGTCGCAGCATTAGGAAGGTTGAGAACCACTGCCCTAAGGTCAAAAGCAGAGCTGGACACCGTCTTTTTACATTAGTCTGTGTTGCTGGAAGAGGGGGCCTTTGTGTGATGGAGGGCCAGTGGTATGGACACATCACTACCTGCAGAAACAGGTGGTTGTTTTTCACTTGAGAGGCCCGGGGACACCTCCAAGAAGCTGCACTCAGAGGTCCCCTTATTCCCTGGGCTCTCTGGGGAGGAGTGGAGAAGCAGAGCAGAGCTGACTGGAACCTTTCGCTGAGAGAGGATGCTCACATAGTCAACAGGTCAACCCTCAGCTCTCTGCGAAGCCAGTGGCAAAACCAGGGTTCACTCACCATGCTGGGGTTGATGAGGTTCCTTCATTGAAGATTCTTCAGTGACTCACTTTGCCACAAGTTCCTTGAGCGTTTTTTGTCTGTTTCAGCATGAAGGGGGCACACCCTGTGATCCATCAGGACTGGCTGCGACCAAGGCCCAGCACAGAGAAGCCCCAAGGGCCACCTCCCACCCAGCAGCGTTCCCCTGTGGGTACTGGCTCAACATCAGGCCCAGTGCCACAGGGCTCCAGGGCTGGGGGCGCCTCTGCCCCCCAGGGAGGCTGGGCCAGGGAGGGCGGGCTTCGCCAGCGGGCGCCGAGGCTGTCTCCCCGAGGCAGGTCTGCTGGGCTGGGGCGCAGACACGGCGGCTCCGCCAGGCCCATTAATAACCCCGAGGGCGCTGCGATCCGACAGCGCGGTTGCCGCAGGCCTCTTACCTCGAGTTTGAGTGGAAGCACACTGGGTGTCTACAGCCCGGCCCCCAGGGTGGGGGTCCCTTTGCGCTTTGGCTGCTTCGGGGAACATCGGAGAGAGACAGCTTCACAACAGCTCGTTTGTAAGGCAGGATGATAGCCTTTAGCCTGGGGCATCCGCCCTCTGAGCAGGAGTTGGGGCCCTCTCCATGGAACCTGTATTCTGATCATTAAAGACCCATTGCCCCGATCGTTAAATTTGCTATTTGTTTCTTCTTGGCTTCTGGGAAGAGCTGGCACGCAAGCATGGACTCCCCTAACCCGCCGGAACAGCCTTACTCTCCCCTTCGGTGCCCGCCCGCCCGCCCGGCTTCAGTACGGACAGTGGACACTGCCGGGCACTGAGGGATCCCGCGCTCCCCGGGTGGCGGTGTCTGGGGCTCCGGCTCTGCCCTCTGGGGCGCTGGAGTGGGGGCGTGGGGCCAGAGGAGTGGGAATGGCCTGCCCACCCGCCCTGGTGATTTTTAAAGTGTCTCCTCTAATTGTAAAAAGAGGCGACCCATGTAGAATCTCTCCTAGATACCAAATTGGCCAGAGACGGGCGTTCTGTCTCGGGCTTTCTTCCTGATACAGCAAACACCTGATGGAGAGAGAACTCGCGGGAACCGGGAGGGTGGGAGGGAACTGGAGCAGGGGGAGAGGGAGAGCTAGAAGCCCGGAGGAGAAGCCGCGAACCGTCTGTTCAGCGGACACCACAACGCCACCCACACCCAGCTCGGAAGGCATTTGGGGGCGCCCGGAGTTCTGACCCGGTACCAGGCAGATTTGGGTTCAGCGAATTCCAAGGGAGCGATTTGGGTTCACCTCTCCCCCGACTCCCAGTAGCCTCAGCGCCCTCCCACCTTCACCTCCCTGCAGGTGGCTCCCGGGGGTGGGGATGCGTTTGTCTCGGGAATTTACCCGAGGGTGGGCCACTGAGCTGCCGAGTTAATCTCTCCCTTCCCTCCCTCCCTCCCGGTATCCCCGGCAGGTTGCGACATGTGCGCGGACAACCGCCACGGAGAGTGCCCCATGCACGGGCCGCTGCACTCGCTGCGCCGGCTGGTGAGCACGGGCAGCGCCGCGGCCGCCGCGCCCCCGCCCGAGATGCCCGAGTGGCTGCGGGACCTGCCGCGCGAGGTGTGCCTGTGCACCAGCACCGTGCCCGGCCTGGCCTACGGCATCTGCGCGGCGCAGAGGATCCAGCAGGGCACCTGGATCGGGCCCTTCCAGGGCGTACTCCTGCCCCCGGAGAAGGTGCAGGCCGGCGCCGTGAGAAACACGCAGCATCTCTGGGAGGTAAGTCGCCCGCCGCCTCCCGGAGCCAGAGTTTTGGGCCGCCGAGAGCCTGGCCCTTGGAGGGTGGCAACTTCGGGGAGAGCTTCCCTTGTTTCCTAGAGAGTAATAGTGGAGAAGAGATTTCTCTGGTCATGCAAATGCCTGGTGTCTGCACCATCTGCTGTAAAGACCTGACACCAAGGCAACCGAGCCAGGGACCCAGGGCCTGCAGGTTTCCGGCGGTGGAATCCCTTAAGGAGCCTCTGGTGCAGCTGAGATGGGTTTGGTCTTTGATATCCCGGCTTCTTGAGAGAAAGAGAAACCAGCTGAGGAGATGGAGCAGCGAGCTCGGGCCTTGGGGGTGTGAGCTGGGTGAACTTTTTGTCCCGTTCTAAGCTCTTCCAGTGTGTTTTTGTGGACTGGGCAAAAAGGAACATAAGCATAAATAGGAGGAAAGAGTCAAGCTCATTTTGTCAGATAAAAACAATTTTGTGAACACCGAATCTGAGAGACTGCAACATGTTTCATTCATAACTTTCAAAGTTCCTGCAGTAAGCAAATTATAGCGTCCTGAATCAGAAATTACAAGTTCTGGTTCTTCTCTGTTGTCCTTTGCAGTACGGCGATGCAGTCTTCAAGAAAATAAAAAATCAAAACACAGGGACACTTTGCGACAATAACCCAGTTGAAGACAATGTTTCAATAGCACAATCTTACCTGACACTATTACTTAAAAATAAACCACCTCTTTGAAAAATGTTAACCAGAGCTTTCTCCCAGAGCTTCATGGTTGACGACTGAGTTCCACTCCTGCAGAGACAGACCCTTAGCCTGTAGGTAATGCCCCCACTAGCTAGCCACCTCCCACCCTTGGAGTTGTTTATGAAATACAAGATGCTAGAAGTCTTACTCTTAAGGGTAAGACTTCTAGCATCTTGCCTGACCGAGGCCAGGCAATATAATGGAGTGGTAATAGCCAGAAAAGAAAGTTTCTGAAATGTCAGCAGCCAAGTTGGCATGGACATTGGGGCTCCATTAATGGGTCATTTCTACAGCAGCTTGCCCCTCACACTTGGCTCAGTGGCCAGTCAAGATGATTATTTGCACTGTGAGCTGCCTCATATTCACTACCTAAAACTCATGGGACTCGATAACCCAGTCACATTTTTGCTGAGCACTCATTCTGACCCGCACTATACACCCTGGAGACACAGTGTTGTGAAAAGCAGACCCAGCCTCCAGAACCCTTACATGGCTGTTGGCAATGGGATGTTGAGGCCTGTGTCCCAAAGCTCCCTTTGATGAGGGAGGAGCTAAGAGTATGAGCTCACAGCCCAACACCCCAAGATGATCGAATAGGGAATATGGGTTACATACCCTATAGGGCAAGCATGTCAAACTCGTGGGCTACGGGCTGCAGGCCCCATTTATTTAAACAAGGCCTGCGAGCCGCGAGTTTGACATGCTTGCATAGGGTACGAGCTAAGTTTCCTACAGTTACCTGCTGGTGCCCTGAGCCTGGCTTCCAGGTTTCATTTCACTCCTAAAGTGAAATTTAGTCCTTCTGCATAAGATTCTTGAATGAGGAGAAAAAAAAGTTGGGCATATTTATTTTACCAAATAGTGCTTTTTCTCTTTTTAACAGAAATTTTTATAGGAAAAGAAGGCAGGAGAAAATGGCTTGGTATGCTACAGAGAGGCAGGTTAGAAGTTAGAGCTTTTGGATAGAAAAAAATGACAAGTGGGAAATAATCAAAGCGTCTGGTTTCGAAATATTTCCCAGTTGTTTTTTGTTTCTGACTAATTAATCGTAACCTCCAATGTGGTTTAAAGTTTATAAAACACTTCTAGTCAGTTTTCATGTTCCAGTGGTGTTATTAGGAACTCTAATACCATACAGTTAAAGATCTGCCAATACTTTTCTGAGGAAATTATGAAGCAGTTGTTCAGTGGTACAGATTTGCTCTATCTGAAACTGTTCAAAGTGAACATTATTGCCCTTTGATGACTTGGGGTTAGAGTGCCAGGGGACAAATCCATAAACATGAAAAAAGAAATCCTATAGTTTTAAGTTGTGTTCTTTTTCCTGAATGGCTGTGGATGATTGGGATGTTGTCAGGAGACCACTATGCATATAGAACATGGTTGATATATAATAAACTAAAAACATGGAGCCTTTCTTTTATTGCCTTTACTTGTTCTTGATGAAGTTTAAATTCTGTTTTAGTAAAGAGACTGGGAAATTTAATTAGGTTTTGTTGTTGTTGATACTTCAATAGACATAAAGTGAGTTTTACCTGTTGTTTGTGTGAGTTGAGTGTGTTGGAGGTAGTGGTGCATAGAAGTGGTTCTGTGTTATAAAAATGAGTTGCTTGGTGTATGCATTAATGATCTACAAGTCCCTCCTCCCTATTCAGGACAGTCTATTTGTTTTTATCATCTGCAGGAACAGTTAGAATAACACATGTTTAGGAGATTGAAGGGATATTAAATGCAGCCATGAAAATGTATCAGTCTCCTGAGGGATCATGTAAAATGTAACTGACTGGGGCCAGGGAACTTAGAGTTGATGGCTATTGGTAAGAAAAAGCACTGTAATAGGTTTCAGATTTTTATTAGTATCATTTATTTTTAAGCATTATGATTTATTGTTTTTATGAAATGTGACTATTTGAATTAAGTTATATTTATAGCAGAAGATTCTAAATGTTGGATTGTTCCTTAAATTTTATTCTTTCCTTTCAAACCTAAATTCAATTGTGAAAATTTTTAATCATTTTATTATTTATATTTAGAAAGAATCGGTAATTGGAATACACTGTAGGTCTATAGGAAATTTTGGCAATAATTATTTAGTGACTCATGTAAAAATTATCCATTTTAAAAACACACTCTTTTAGATATCTTCCAGAATATCACATTGACATAAAGCAGATCTTTAAAAAAATTAAAAGCAGTTGAATCATGACTATTATATTTTAAAAGTCAACTGGAATCGTTTTTCTTTCTCACATTTTTTTCAAGTCACTTGCTGATGAAGAAATGTCTTTATATTTAGAGTTCAATACTCAGGTCCTGATGGATCTTACCAGGGTTACTTATCTTTATTTCAGTACAATAAATGGATTGCTAATCTTTTCCCGTCACTGTTTCCAAGTAGATGATGGATTTTTGTTTCAGTTTACAGTTCATTGTTTTTAGTATGGTTGTACTTTATTATACACATGAAGGCTTATTAGAGAAAACATCAGATTCACCTTAGTTATTCCTTTTGTTTAATAATTAAAAGCTATATTTTCTTTGTAGAAAAATGACTTTTTAATATTTAACATACATCAGCTATGGAGAGCTTGTTTGATGGGTTTGTAAGTGTGCTATCATCTTTGTGTATAATCCTGGTTCTTAAGAATATAGCAATTAAAAGAAAGTTCAATATCATTCTATTACCTTCAATATGTTTTGACTCTTTTGAATGTTTATAGGAAGTTCTAAGAGTTTTTCTTTTCTTTTTTTTTTTTTTAGCAATAAATGACAGTAATTTTTTGTAATTTAAGGAGATTAATAAGCTAAAAGCCAAAGTATTAATCTCTTTTTGGCCAATTTCTTTTAAAATCAGAATTTTAATATGTGCTACAAGAAATAATAAATTCAGATAGTTTAAAACAAAAACATTACAGGATGGATTAAATAATCACTTGCCTTACTTACATACATTTATTCCAACAAGACTTGAATGCATGATATATTTCTAGCCCTTTAGACGTAATGGGAAAAATCTTTCTGAATGTTTTGCAAAGAAAACATAGTCTTTCTCAGCAATTAGGTCTTATTGATGAGAGTGAGATAATTTTATCCTAATGTGTTTTCTAATAAAGAAGTGAAAAGGCACATTTGATTCCAACATTTATGAAAACATTATCTCAATTATTAATGTGCTCTTTTCCCTTGAGATAAATTAATCTAGTTGCACATGGTTTCCCCTTTCTGTTTAACATCAGAATTTAATATGGCTGGACCTGAGGAATGTACACAGTGTATACTTAAAATTCTACTGGAATAAAATACAGAAGTTTAAAATAGTTACAGTTTAAGATAGGCCAGAATTACTCAGGCCTTTCAATTCAAAGTCTTATTTGACAAGAAATTTTAGCAATGATGACAAAATAAATTGTACCTAAAAAAATTATTCTGGTAATTGAAATAATGTAGTGACTTGTTAGGATTACAGTCAAGGTACTAGAAAGGGATTTAATTTTACAGAACCTGTTTTCCCTTTGCCTGAGTAAATTTGAGTGTCTCATTTTCACTTTACTATGTGGACATTTTCATTATTTTTCTTCAGAAAATCAAAAGGGATAACATAATGTGGTTCTCTTTGTGGTTTGATGTTGTGCCATAATATTTTAGATTTAATAAGAGTTTTGCTTTTAAGCAAATGGTCTATTTTTCATCATTAACATTTAAGTTAGGTCAAAAGAATTTAATGAAAACCAATATTAAAAATATATTACACATTGCTGCATGTTTATATTTCAAAACCATCATAGGTAATTGGTACTAAAAGGAAATGAATTGATTTTATATTTTAAATGTATTTTATGTTTCTATAAATGACCCAATTCCATTTATAGTACTGTACCCATTTGTATGGATTTAGGTGTTGAAAATTAATAATTTAAAATTAATTATTTTAAATTAAAATAATTTTAAAATCAAATTAAAATCATTTAAAAATTGTTCCAGTGATAGTACTGTAATTATATACTCCATATTTTGCTTTATAGATTTGGCTCAATTTGGCTTGACTCATCAAAACACCAGGGGATAGAATTATGTGGCTGTCACAGTTATATTGAAGTAAAAATTGTGTTTCTCGGTAATTTATCATTTAATACACTAGACTGCTTGTCAGCTTGGTTTTGAATGTGTCAGTTTTATGAAATCCAAATAATTTCTCCTTAAAAATAAACCATAGTAATGTTACTATTATGTTTTAAATTATGCAGGGTAACAGCTGGTATATCTCTTTGGTTTTGCCTCATTTGATTTGAAGATGTCTTTTACAGTGGTGCCCATTTGATAGAGTGTGAGCATTTTGTAGTTTTACATAAACTGTAAAACCATCTGCCGCCTGTTGGAATCATTTCCAGCATTGTGTTAAAAATCAAAACTTAGTACTTAAAATTGGCTTTGAAAAGATCCATGTAAAGTCTCGTTCCTTTTAACTTATGCATCCCCCTGGACAGTGCCACCTTGGTTTTCTAAGTCCTAAAACGACCCTGCTTAAAAAAAAAAATTATAACAGCCATTTGGAAATTCTCATGCTAGTGAGGTTTCATCCAGATATGCACGTGACGCTACAGTGCATTAGTTGCAAATGCTTTATAAAGAGTAATATGTTCTGTATCTCATTAGTCAGTTCAGTTTATCTATTGTTTACAGATTTCTTCTTTTATTGATAGTATTTATCCACATAAAGAAAATAATTCAAAAGTATTTCTTGACTGCATATTTTCTTACAGCATATAATTAAAAAAATTTTTTTTTCACACTGACTTAAAAGTGGGGTAGAGAAATTCAAATCAGAGTCTCAGACGTTCCTGGATAGATGAGGTCCCCCCGCCCCATGACTGCATGGCAGCACGCGATCTGGTGAAAATGTGATTATGGCAACACTCGGTCTGAGAAGCCTGCAGGGGAGCCTTTATATTTCAGTGCCAATTAAGGCAGTTTTAATTATTGGAGTAAATTTATTGTTATCCAGAAATCACTTATAGTTGGAGTATAATACTATGGGTTTTAAAAAATGAATACGAAAACTGCCTCGTAGCTAGCTGAGGAATTATGTCCACAGTATCAACATTCTCTTTTCTCAGAGGGTGGATGTGATACGTTGATAGTGTGGGGAAAATGTTCTGCCGTTTTTAAGAATGCGTGCACAGAACCGCTTTTAGACTGCCTTGCTCTGTCTTTTTCTTTCTTTCTTTTTAAGAATCGTATATACTCCAAGATTTCATGAGTTCAGGCATTCCTTGTGTATTTACACAAGAAATACAGACTCTGGTATAACTACTTAGCATAAAAGCCAGAGAAGCCAGAGCAGAATATACTTTTCCTTGTAAGCATTTGCCACCTCACTCAGATAAGTTACAGAATTCCATTATCCAAATTGTTACACATGTGTGACAGAGGTTGACCTTTCGTCATGTCAATCCTTTTTGTGTAGGCCCCAGGCTCCAGCCTAATGGCTCAAACCCTGATTTACTCACTGTAATAAGGGCAGGAGGTCGAGCAATTGTCAGGCTGCCTGTTCGTACTCTTCTTGGAGCCTGGTTGAAGGCTGTTAACACAAAGCTTTTCAAAGTGAATTTACAACCAGCACCACTGACAGAGGCCAATCAGTGCACCATAAATGTCAGGTTAGTGAGATTGAGCAGTAAGTAAAGTACTGACAGCACACTATTGGCTGGAATCAATTGGCCAGGGTTTAACTGAAAAGAGCAATCTACGTGTGGCGGGCTTAGGGCGAGAGCTAAGCGTGCAGCCTCGGTTTCCATGGACCATCTGTAGATTTACCTGCAAGAGGAGCGCAAGGGTGGAACGGCACCCATTTGCTTGGGTGCATCCGGAATCTTCCGTGTTGACGTGCTTCAGGATTTGGAAGTTGAGAGTGGCCGAACCTGCTGACGCTGAGGTCGGTGGTAAAAAACAAAACAAAAAACAGCCCAGGAAAAAAGGATCAACTTTGACAATATGGGGCTGTCAGAACTGGGGACACAACCAGTTCATTACAGTTCGGGGAAAGGCAATTTGTTCAAATTCTGAAACGAAAGCAGGGATTTACAGGAGCGCGCAGACACGAGCCGGCTCTTTTGCTCTTCTTAAGGCTCAGCAGTGTGAAACTTTCATGGAAGTCACTAATGAGTGATTATGGGTTGAGAGTCTGAATATCCATGAGATGTGGTTTCCCCACCAGACGGAATGTTTTTATCATTTCGTGTAATGACAGCCTGGACAACAATTCATTTAGCTCTGAAGGCATCAGCATTAAAATGGAGGAATCCATTAAGATGCTGTATGCAAGGATTTATAAATTAGGCAATTTCCTTGATTATTGCAATCATTTACAAAATTGATTGTTCCCGTGTGGTATAGACAGATTTCAGCAACGATCATTGACAACAAGCACATTCTCTGATATCTATAGCTACTGGTCACTAAAGCAGGTCACTATTCCTCATCCTCCCTGCTGTTCTTGGTCTCAAGGTCAGACAGACTTTCAAAGAAGCTTAAAAATAATGAGTTTTCACTTGTTTTCAGAGGAGACCCACCCAGGCTGGGAGGGTAGATGCAAGTTGTGCTAAATGATGCAGCATTGTTTTTATATTTCAATCTTAATTTTGGAGGAGGGTGTTGATGATCCTGATATGCTTCAGATCAGTAGCACAGGTTTTGAGATGATGCCAAACTAAAAGGAAATTATTTTCGCAAATTGCAGCTGTAAATATTTGTTTGATTGAAGAACTAAAAGTCAATAATGTGTTTTATTTGTTGGTCCTTAGAGTTCTAATTATCCAATAGATATATCTTGGAGTCGCTGGATTTTAGGTCAATTAATTCTGGAAGGCATAATAAAGACATTGTTACAAGTGGGAAACGTTCAAAATGTTGCAGTTTTTCCTATACAAGAACACGCAGGAGTTCACTTGGTACTTAATCACTAACCACAAACCACAAAGTTGCCTTTATTCCTGAGGTATCAGAGATGGGCATGCCAAACGTGTATACAGATTTCTGTCCAATGAAAGCTAGCAGTTTATGCTTAGTACAAAATAACTGACTTTAGGCATTTACTTTTAATCATCTTTTTGTTTTTAATCATAATTTTCCATTCTTGGATCTCAGGCTGGGGCTTGAAAATAACATTTTAGAAAATTGCCTAACACTGTTGGGAAGGCCAAAATTCTTTAGTTTGTCCTGATTTTTATATATATATAATAATTTGATTTCAAGGTATTCCTTTGGTTAAAAGGAGAAATGCTATGTTTGGTGGCACCCTGCATTTTTATTTGACTATGGTTGCTTAATATGTTTGCTCTGAAGTTCGTTTTCATTTTTAATTAATTGTAAAATTCACTGCTTAAAAATTCAACGAAAAGGCATTATTTTCACTTGTCTTGATATTATCTCCTCATTTTTATTAAATTTTGGGGGGGCAGTATTTCTGGTTTCTGTCAAGACTTGAAAGTCATGTGACTAGATTTGTTTTGTGTGAACTGAATGAAGCACTCAGTTATATAGATGTTTTTGCCAGCACCCTTGTACATTTATTTAATAAACCAAAATCTACTGCATGCAATTGTGAAATGATATGGGATTAAGCCCATTTTATTAAAATGAACAGTGTTTTTCACTCTCTGTGATCATTTTAAATTAAAGCTGCCTCAGATAATGAAGTGTTTTCTATAGAAACATTCGGTGTAATCTAATTCAGTAGAAACTTCTTAAGTGCTTTTTAATTGGAATCAAATGAAATGTAATCAAGTCATGTTTTCAGTGTCTTGTAAAGCACTAAGACCTTTAGCACACTTGGGAATATTAAGGTTTATCACAAAAGTAACAGAATTAAATTCTCAGATATTTATGTAAACTCCAGAATGGTAGATAACCCATAATAAATTCTAAGTTAGAGTACAGTGCTTTCAGAATCTGTTGTGTTTGTCCCAAACTAATATTAAACCTCATTTATGATAAAAAAAAATGCACAAATAGTACGTGTGGGAAAGAGTTCCGGAAAATATTGTGCTACTGAGGAAAGCACTTAGTTTCAATTTATTGCAATTTAAAATTTTACTTGCATAATCTATGAGGTGGAAAATCTAATTATTAAGCTTTAAAATGGTAGAAATGAACTTTTATATTAAAAATAATTAAAGCTCATTGGTCCTGGCCTGGTGGCTCAGTTGGTTAGAGCAGTGGTCAGCAAACTGCGGCTTGCGAGCCACATGGGGCTCTTTGGCCCCTTGAGTGTGGCTCTTCCTAAGCCTTAGGAGTACCCTAATGAAGTTAATAACAATGTACCTACCTATATAATTTAAGTTTAAAAAATTTGGCTCTCAAAAGAAATTTCAATCGTTGTACTGTTGATATTTGGCTCTGTTGACTAATGAGTTTGCTGACCACTGGGTTAGAGCATTGTCCCGATACACCAAGGTTGTGGGTTCAGTTCACAGACAGAATCAACCAATCAATAAATGGAACAGCAAATCCATCCCTCCCTCCCCTCTATCTAAAAGCAATAAAAAAGAATGCTCATCGTAAGAATTCAAACTATATGAAAATATAAACCAGTGGTAACCATTGTTGAAGACTTTTATCATGTCCTTTAAAGAGATGACTAATATAATACATATTTATTTCATATTTGCACCATCTCCTTGATACTGCAAAACACGTTTTTAAAGCAGCAACCAATGGGACAGTCTTCATAGGATCTCCTGCAAATGTTTAAATTTGGCTCACGCATGAATAGATTTTAATTTTGTGTTCAGTCCCGTTCTCCCCTCTCTGTATTTTTCCTGGTGGGAAATTTCATTAACAGTCTGCAGAGCCTACTGATATTATAGCAACACTTCTACCGATATTGTTTGCATGTTTTATAGCACGTCTTTAATAAAATCAGAGCCTTTCTGGAGTCTTTAGGGAGATTTTAATGGCCCTCAGAGAGAAAGGAGGAAATATTTGTTTTCCTTTTTTACACATGAAGTTGTTAGCAAAAAGATCAGATCTTTTTCTTTTTCTTTTTTTTTTAAAAATATATTTTATTGATTTTTTTTTA